AGAGAGAGAGAGAGAAGAAAAAGAAAAAAAGATAAAAGAAATATAAAAAAAAAGAAAGCAAGATAAAATTGAACTAGGCTATATATAAAATCGAAGGAATGGCATGGTATATATAAAGAAAAACAATTAAAAAGATTTGCAAGAATAAATGTGTCACAGTATAGTATAATAATGCGTATAATAAATAAAATCATAGAGACTGATATTTCTCATTCTAGACCAACCGTCTAGTAATGTGATCGCCAATAAATTCACGCGGATGTGTAGAAATGATGTAAAGTAATCGGCAATAAATTCATATTTCCGATCAGACAGAAGAACGGTACCAACAAATCGTAAAGCAATCGAACACGCGGGCTGGCATATGCGCACGCGTTGCTTCGAACTTAAGTATTCTGAACAATATCAGCCAATTATCGAACGATTGTGTCGCGGCGCCAACTGTCAATGTCGATGGTCAACTAGTCGATCAGAGGAGGGAGTGACCACTGGTCGAATCGATACGCGCGGTCCATCACCCTTCGTTCTGAATTTCGAACCTTTGTTTTTGCAAGAAAGATCATACTGGACAAGAGCGTCTAGTCGATTACGTTCATCCACGAATGCGACTAATTTTATGCGTGTTTGTTTTACACCAAACGTTCGTTGTTTATCCAAGAGATGGACCGACCATCGGACAAATCCACTCGACGATTTCGCGCGCATACATCGATTGAAATTATGAATATAAATATTTGTAGGTTAGATCAAAACGCATAAAAGAAACAAATTTCTTTCTTTCTTAAAATGATTCCTATTAGTTTCGTTTGTTCAGATAGAATGTCTTATCTGAATCGAGGCACAATCCTTTCGAAAAGGCAAACGTAGCAATGTAAAGAAGAAACGTGAATGGTAGGTTACAGTAGGTTCAAACTTGAGACACACGCACGTACGTGGTCAACGAGATTCGCGGCACGCGACTTCACGTGCGCAAGTCGTGTGCAGACCGGAAACAGCAATCAAATATGTACTTTGCTTTCGATTCCGATACCATTCTATCACAAAACGATTCGAAGCATCGCACTCATATTTCTTATAAACACGAGTTAAATTTTTTAATAAATCATACATGTGATGATCTTCGAAATAAATACACGAAGGGGAAAAAATAAAAAATTGATATTAAAATTTGAGATTTCGGAAATCAAGAACGAGATCGTTCAATTTTGATAAAAAAAAAACGATTGACGAATCATAATTTAGTTGGATTTGTTCCCATAAACTATCATAGACGGCCACCTCCTCACCGATAATCATGCGATTGCCGCGTGAGAAAGTTCTCTCGTAATCGCACCCTCGTAGTCAACCACCCTCCTCTATAAGTTGGTAAGTTACTAACACACTAATCGCGAATTCGAGAAACGTATAACGAGAGAAACAATTTTGACTTATAATCGATCTCGCTAATTTTTTCGATAAATTTCAATTTTCTTCAATTCAGTGCCCATTGTACACATAGACAGATATAACAGGTACAATATATTCGCTCGAAGCAAAAATAGGAAATGTAATCGATGGTGCGATAGTTGCAGATTTCGCGAAATCTTTCATCGACATAGACGAGGGTAGCACAGCGTGCGACCAGCTAAGCGCCACGAGCGTTCCCACGAAAATCGTCCCTTCTGATCACCACTTTCCTCCCCCTTGATGTCTCGCTCTCTTTCGTCCTATATCCCCCTATACCCTTCACGGAACATAGGGTTCGAAATAGAGGGAGAAAAAGAGAGCGGCGGCCGGTTTTCACCTTGCGATCGAGAAGCAGAGAACAGAGAAGTTTCCCCCTCTCAAAGGAGGCGCGGCACACCTTCGTCCCCCACCATTGGACCTACCATTGGGCCGAGGGACGAAACGGGGCACGCGGTCGTGTGTCGTCCCCAAGTCCTCCCGCACACGACATACGTCGGCCGCCACGCGACCAGTGCACACGCCTGTGAGTGGTGCGCGTTTCGCAACACCGTCTAACCTATCGCGAGTCTGTTTCGCGCGCGTAATACACGCGACCGCGAACCTCCTCGGGAAGCCGCGGCACGTGAACGCGATCAACTTCCAACGAACGATAACAGTTACTTATTCTCACGTGATTCCATTCTCCAGTTCTCCACCTTATTTCTTCTTTCCTCTTACGAGTTTCTTTAACGATATATGTCCGTCAATTATGGATCGAAATATTCGAACGTCCGTTTGATCTGCGCTTCTTTTTTTTTTTNTTTTTTTTTTTTTTCTACCAACATCTTTTATACTCTTGAAAGTGAAAGTGTGTCGACAATTGTTAAGGAAAGGAAAAATGTGGAGGGTAGTGGTCGCACGATCGGACGAGAATAGCACGTTGCTGTCGTCGGAGATTGGCTCCGGCCCGGTCGCTCCGAATCACATTTCTACCCTCTCTGGGCCACCGTCCGGCCATCACCATCATCACTGGGGCTATCCACCGCCGCCCCATCCATCTTATCAGCCGCAACATTCCGACGTATCGTCACGGCATCATCACGATCCCCGCCCGCCTCACGACCTTAGGCACCCGGCCACCGCCGATCTCAGGCCTCAAGAGATCAGGCACGAGATGCACAGGCCTGACCTAAGACATCAGTCGGCGGCGGAGATGCAGCGGCATCAACCGTCCGAGTTGCACAGGCCGGAAATGGCGAGGCATCATCAGGATTTGATGAGGCCGGACATGGCCACGGAAATTAGATCTAGTCACGAGTTCCCGGATCTCAAGATGGACGTCGCGGATATTAGGAATCAGGAGAGCGGGCAACAGCAGCAACAAGCGTCGCAACAGGGTCAAGCTCATCAACAGAGAAGTCTGAAAAGAACTATGAGCGATTCCGATTGCGACGACGTGTTCTCCGAGGAGAGCGGCAAAGAGCCGTGAGTAAACGTTCAGTATGTTCAACCGAGCAATCAAGGTTTGATTGCTTTTTTTCGTAAGGGAAAAAAAGCAAGCCTTGATCGGAAAAGTAAATTGATCGTAAATATAATATGTTATTTTTCATTGTTCTGTTCTACACAGTTGTAATTCACCGGGAGGCGATTCCTGCCAGCACGCGTCGCGAAAGCGAAGAAGAGGAATGATCGAGAAGAAACGTCGCGATAGAATAAACGCGTCTCTCGGTGAGCTTCGTAGATTAGTACCGGCAGCGGCCAGGGATCCTCATAGCGGGAAATTGGAGAAAGCAGAGATTTTGCAGCTTACCGTCGAACATTTGCGAACGCTTCGAAACAAAGGTGAGTTGTTTGTGAAAAGAAGAAAAAAAAAATCTTCGTCAAATTGTATCGAAACTATATGCATCCGAGAAACGCACCATCTTTTCCTAATTATTACCGACGGACACCTGTTGACCGTAGGCACGACGCTTAACAATCGTGCGACTCGAGAAACCATCCGTCTTAAACCGCGAAAACGATTTACGATTCTTTACGCTTTACGAATGATTAATATCGCGATCGATTAATTCGAACGCAAATTCGCAAAAAAGAAAATTATTATTCGCAAAGGTACGCGTGTCTCGCGAGATAAGGGAAGATAAGTAACGGGAAGGGAAGAGGTGAACGAGATATCGTTGGAGAGAAGCAGGTGCTGGAGCCGAATCCGAGCGGAGATCCTGTGGGAAGCGCAGGAAGTCAACGACTCTTCCGAAGTGGTGTTCCCACGATTGGTGGCGAGTTAGTGGTGGGGTGTCCCACCCTTCGTGAAGGAGGGCACCACGGTCGGGGCAGATGTCGAACCCTGTGGGAAACCGACTCTCGTTTTATATCTACGCGCTTACACGCACACACGTCTGAAATATACCTACTCCGCTGCCTATCCATGTTTACCGATCAACAATCGCCTCTCTCTTTAAACATTCTTCTCTCCAAAATTCTATCTCCCTCCTTTCCATGACATAATCATATTTCTATCATCACAATAAATATATATATATACACAATCGATGAAACAAATCGTTAATATAAAATCTTTGGATAACATTTCCATTTAAAGATCCGTGTAATATGCTCCTCGTGATCTATACAGGGGTGTAAACGATTCCCACGCTACCTGTCCTATCCCGTGCAGGGTGACGAATCCGTGGAACCCTACTTGCCAGCTCTCCCTCTTTCCCAGATCTTTCGTTGCAATTAAATGGCGTCACGAATATGAGAAGTCAAATCGATGATAGTTTCGTGTGATAATTTTGCAGGGCCGGAGGGGTACGACAGCACGAAATTGGCGATGGATTATCACGCGGTCGGTTGGGGGGAATGCGCAGCCGAGGTTGGCCGCTACCTGGTCACCATGGAGGGCCTCGACGAGAGAGATCCACTGAGGCTACGATTGCTCTCCCACCTGCAGAGCTTTCACCGTGAGCATCATCCACCGTCGGCGACGGTCCCTCCGCCGGTGACCAGCTTGAGCTCGACCTCGACCAGCACCAACTACGAGACGGGGAGCACGGTTTCCGCTGGGATGCCAGCTGGAACAGGGGCGATGCCACCGCTTCTGGGTGGAAGCGCTCTCGGATGGGGCCAGTATCCGGGCCAATATCCTCAACAGCAACACGGAAAACCTTACAGACCGTGGGGCGCCGAATTGGCCTATTAACTTTCATGACTTTTCTCCATATTTCTTTTCTCAATTCGCGAAAATTTTCATTATCCGTAAGCTTCTTTAGTTTCTCGACGATTCAATGTTAAACTTTCAACGAAACCAATTACTCGTATTGTCGAGGGATAAATATTCTCTACTATTTTCCAACTCGACGAGAATATTTCGAAGATTTTATTACGATATATGATAGAAGAGCGAGTAGTGAATTTAAAAATTATTTATTATTCGACTTGTCGAATTTTTCGAACGAACGAATTATTTTGTACAGTGTGTATATATATATATGATTATATTATTGTAAATAATAGAAAGTGATCGAGCTCGTACTTTCTCCATATTTCTATTTTTTGTATCCTTTTCTTTTTGTATCGTCGTAACGAATCGCAATTTGATCGTTTAATAAAAATCGATTCGAAAAAGTGCCATTAAACGTATCATTGCGTACGTTTTATATATATATATATGTGTGTGTGTGTGTGTGTGTGAAAAAAAAGCGCTCAGATATTTTTGCAATAAGATTTTGTAATAAAATAGAGATTACGAGAAACGAAACAATCATATTCATTGCATCCAATCTCTTCTCTCTTTACAGCATTTCTTAACGAAATCGATCGTTTCTTATTCGATACTTTGAATAAATTAATCAATACAATTAATAATAAGTATCAATGTTTTCACGCTCGTACTATTTTTATTCTCATTTATTTATCTATCCTCCGCTTTTTCCTCCATAATGTCCGTAATGAGAAATTTTGCCGACCATTCTTATGCAAACGTTTAGTTTTGCAGCTTGCAGAGAATGAGAATGAGAAACAAAATACGCATCCCAGCGTTATTCCTCGAACCAGTTTTGCGACCAGTTAAACCTTTCGTTAGAGAATACATTGGCAAAATGGGAAATTCGCGGGGCTTTTAACGATCGATGGGAACAATTAGCCGTTGCTGGTTTTTACAAATATTTTAAAAAGCTACCTAGGGAACCTAATTATCGTTAGGGAAAAGGAAGAATGGTGCGTGGGCACGTGGCCATTGTTCGAATACCGAGTTCACCTCTTCCAACCCTTTGCAGCCGTGTGTAACAACTCAAAATTCATCCGTTTCCATGGAGAACGTTGTTACTCGTGTATTTTTACGTAGGCACTTTCTTTACCCTTTAAGAAACTTGTTCGATCGTTAGATACTAGGTGACTAAAATCGATCGTAAAAGTACATTATACACACGCAAGAATGTGTATATATATATATATATTACCCCTTTGATCGTGACTACTGTAACTGCAACTTGAAATTGAACGGCATATATTATACTTATTTATATACACATAATATAGGTGATGTTATCGCAAACGAAGGGAAACCGAAGTTTATATAACTGTATTACCGACAGAAGTTGCAAGAACATCGATAATCCTCGAGAAAATTATTTTATTTATACGACATTCGCATCCGTTAAAAAGTCACAGCCTCGTCGAACATACGTTACATTAAAAGAATCGTGACTCGTTCATATATCTATGTACATATCGCACATATCGTATAACTATTATATATACATAATATATTCATGTGATTTTTCTATATACATATCGTGTACAAATCCTATATCCTAAAATCATAGTTTTCGAAAAATATTTTACGAAAAAACCGAATAAAATGATTCGATACAATCAATTTTTTTTAATTATAAAAATTATGCAATTTGAGAACAATATTGTGAGAAAATATATGAGTATAATATTATATTATATACCTTGCATTCGTTGCAATGCACTTTAGCGTATATAGTATGTACTCTGTATTATTTTTAAACAGTGAAATTTTCAAAATTAAATCTATTCTACAACAGTGATATTTCTATGTACACCGTGTGAGAAAATATAATATTTTCACGGAAAATATTTTCAACGACGAATATCTTAATATCTTAAAATCACCTCGATGGTAACAGATTATCGACAGATCATTCGTATATACATACATTCGTGTACACGCATCGATAGTTTTTAAAACAATAGGAAAAGATAAGAAACGTTCTTTCCTTTCTGCACTTTTCCCCTTTTCACCCTTATGATTTAACGATTAAAGTACCAAGTCAAATTGAGATTAAAATAAATAAGTAAGTACTAAGCAAAAAAACTAACTGATACATGAATCGTGATATACATATAATCCCTCTTTGAAAAACTGATAGAACTATGTATATCGTCCTTATTTTATATATTCAATATCATAAACGAAAATACCTATATAATAAACTTAATTTAGAATATGTGCATATTTATAATAGTATAATATTTTGAAAAACGCATTAACCTATTACGAAGAAATATAACCTCTTAAACGGTTCGTTGCATTAATCGTTATTTAAAAGAAAGTATCTTATTTACGTTTGATTGAAAAGAATATGGTCCTTTATGATCCTCTCAAAAGAATCTTTATGAAAATATATATATCTCAAAAAATAATTAAACGCATTCGATTATTTTATAAAATGGATCGCGAAACGTCTTCGATGTTTCTCGTCGATCTTTTCACAGTAGATACATACTTTTGAGATGATATCTCGAAGTTATATCGGTATTTAAAAAAAAAATAAAATAAAATAAAATAAAAATAATTATATGGATGAAATATTCATCGTAACATCGTATATGTTAGATCATCATTTCGTTTTCTATGTTTTCGTTACGTTGATTTTCTTCGTATTCGTCGCAATAACAACACATCGAAACGCTGTCTTCAGAATTATCGGCAACATAAGTTGTGAATGTGTCGATACTTTTCGTATCCAGAGATAATAAAGACCATGAAAGAGATTCTGTTTCGTATTCCGGTATAGTCGAGTGCCAAGAACTCAAATTTCGTGACTTTTTTGCCTTGCGACTTTTCGTCGATAATTTCTTGATAGCCTGCAAATTGAAGCAACAGCTTGCGATATACATACACGTACTAGCATATATATATATATATATATATATATATATATATTACTTNTATTAATAAGTAG